GTTTTCGCTATAGGGCGCGTGCACTCGCCAGACAGAGAGAGACATAGAGACAGAAAGCGAGAAATCACCCCCCAGGGGGGATGGTCACGCTGCAATCCGTTCTCCTCCATTCTCCTCTTGGGATCTTGGGCACGCACGCACACGCGCCTGGCAGGAGTTTTAAAGCCACCAGGTCTGGGACGTGAACCGCGGTCGACTATGTGGGAGTCCAGCGACATAGCCATTACGCTAACTGCTGGTTCCCTCCACATTCTTTAAATGTGCTGTAAGGCATATGTGCTTACCAGAAAAAGAGAGAAAATGAGAAAATAAGCCTCCATGTCCAGGATTTGAACCATGGTCAGCTACATGGGAGTCCAGCACCCCAACCATTACTCTACCTGCTTGCCCTTTTGTTTGGTTGCTTTTTAAATTTTGCTATATGAGTGTGTGCGTGCTCTGAGATAGAAAGAGAGAGAGAGAAACCACCCCCAAAGAGGATGACCATGCTGTAGTCCCTTCTCTTCCATTCTCCTCTCTAAATTTTGGGCACACATGCACACGTGCCTGGTGTGTTTCTCAAGCTCCCAGGTCTGGGACTCGAACCACACAGATGGCCATGTGAGACCCAGCTGCCTTAGCCACCACACCAGTAGCAGACCCCTAAATACATTTTAAAATATTATTATTAATAAAAAATGTTTATGTGTTATAGTCTAATCAGTGAGAAGAGGACATCCGGACATAGCCAAATTTATTGGAATTTTATTTATTAAGCCGGTAGAGTACAGGGGGAATTCATGTCTCTCAAAACCTGGCAGCCCCAAGCGGAAGGAGAGGGATGCTTATATAAACAAAAATCACAACCAATTCTGGGTTGATATGGTGATTACAGTGGAAACTGAAGAGAGGGTGAGAAGGAAAGGGAGTGAGGTTCCCATGTGAAAGCAGTTACGGAAGCTGAATAAAGCAGATTTTTGTTTGTTTGTTTTGGAGAGATTTTTCGCTATAGGGCGCGTGCGCTCACCAGACAGACAAGGAGACATAGAGACAGAAAGCGAGAAATCACCCCCCAGGGGGGATGGTCACGCCGCAATCCCTTCTCCTCCATTCTCCTCTCGGGATCTTGGGCACGCACGCACACGCGCCCAGCGTGAGTCTTAAGCCACCAGGTCCGGGACGCGAACCCAGTCGACTACGTGGGAGTCCAGCGACAGCCATTACGCTAACTGCTGGTTCCCTGAATCAAGCAGGTTAATTCTTTTCTTTTTTTTTTTTAATAATTTTTCTTTTTTTACATTATTTAATTTTATTTATTCATTCATTTATTTTAATTTAACGAGAGAGAGGGAAAGTGAGAAAGCAAGCTACCAGGTCCAGAACTCGAACCATGGTGGCCATGAGGGAGTGTTCAGTGCCCAACTACCAAGCCACCTGCTGTTCCCAAGCAAGTTAATTATTTCTAAGGGCACTCTCCAGACCATTATTTAATGGTCTCCATGGCTCCAGGCAAGGGTCTAGTTGGTAGTTACATTGCTAAGGAACATCTAAGCAAAAAGGCTTGAGGGGGGGCTACTTAGCAAAGACAGTATCGCTCTATTCACTCTGGGCAAAAGGAGGAGGCAAGTCTAATATAAAGTTCAAAGAGGGAGGTACTTCTGCTTGATATGTTTATTTCTTGAGAGAGAGAGAGTGTGCGCTTCATGCTATGAACCAGTCCTGCTCTCAACTGGCCAGGACCAGGGCAGCGTTAGGATGTGACCCAGGACCTTTTCATGTTCAAATTCTGACCAGCATGTTGGGATTCCTTTTAATGGAAACCTTTGGTTCCACAAACAATTTCAACAGATTTAGAAACTGTGCATTCTTAATTTCTTCAGTACACATTACATGATACAACAAAAAGAGAAAAAATGTCATTGGACCCAGGACCAGTTTCCATACCACTCCTCCACTGCCTGACCCCATACAAATACATTTCTTAATGTTTTTAAAGACAACACAACAAAATAAACACATTCCTAATCTAATGATTTTTAAAGATATGTCTTCTATTTGATAAGATTTTCTACAGGAAAAAGGATTAAGTGGTGCATAGCAGGAAGTGGGAATAGAATTCTCAGGACAGGAACACTCTGGCGACTACAAATTGAAAATTATTGGCCTATGTAAGTCATTTAATATTTATAAAACCAATCATAAGAATCTTATTTTTTGATAATGTTATTAATAAGGATTATCCTTCGGTCTAAAAAAGGCTCCTATCCTATAAAATTCATATCAATTCTAAGACAAATAGCCACTTTCAGGAACTATTAGATGATCAAGACTGCCATCTAGTGGCTTTCTATTGCTAAACAGAATGAATACAGTGGATTCATGTAAAATCTGGGTAGAACTACAGATTACTCAGTGTGGGTCCCTATGGAATGCCATTCGCATTTTTCAGAACAGCCCAACAATTTTCACATTCTTCTTCGTGAATTTGGGAGATTTTGCCTTCCCTTGCTAGTGTTACCACAGCTTTCCACAAGATGGATATGCTGCAATCCCTTATCCTCTCTGGATTTTGGGCATGCACATATGTTCAGCGTGTTTTTCAAGCTGCTAGATTTGGGACTTGAGCCATACATTTGGCCATGTGGAATCCAGCACCTTAACTCCCCGTTGCCACCTGCTTGCCCCAATTTTTATTTAAGCAGTGATTTTTTTTTTCCTGTTACTTAAAGGACCATGAATTTTTTTTTTTTTTTTTGTGGAGAGGTTTTTGCCATAGGGCACATGACAGAGAGAGCCACAGAGACAGAAAGCGAGAAATCACCGCCCCCCGCCCCCCCCCGGGGAATGGCCACGCCATAATCCCTTCTCCTCCATTCTCCTCTTGGGATCTTAGGCACGCACGAACACGCGCCTGGCATGAGTTTTAAGCCACCGGGTCCAGGACTTGAACCGTGGTCGACTATATGGGAGTCCAGCGACATAAGCATTACGCTAACTGCTGGTCCCAGGACCATGAAATTTAAATTCAGTGTTTGAGATCTAGTTCTTCAGGGTTGGATGATTCTTGGAATACTGTCCTTCTTGCTTGGAAATTGATCAGGGATGATCACCTAATGAAAAGTATAAGGCCCTTGGACAAGGTTAGAAGTGTCTTGCCTTTTTATTCCGTCATCTCAAACCCCAAGAGTAGAATCCACAATTACAAGTTTACACAAATATAGATCTCATGTGATATATAATTATATCATTTATAAATCAATGACATTTTTTCTCTTTTGGTTGTATCATGTAATGTGTACCGAAGAAATTATGCATGCACAGTTTCTAAATCTGTTGGAATTGTTTGTGGAATCAAAGGTTTCCACTACAAGGAATCCCAACATGCTGGTCAGAATTTTGAACAGAAATCAAGCTGAAGAAACATCTTCTGCAGTATTAGTAGCCAGAGTGTCAGCAGATGTGATAGGGAGCCTAAAAGCAATCGATTCTCATGAAAAGTTTCAAATGAGGTCAGTTTGTGTGAATTCTCCCATAAAGGTCCTCAACTTGTCTAAGGCTGTTGCAGTCTCCCACCTTGAATTCACTTATCTATATACAAAAAAAAAAAAAAGGAACATCTTGCATTTAATTCTAAGTCTTCAACGACTTGTTCAGAATTGGTATTTGTTTTCACCACTATGCCATCTGTTAATCGTATTTCTGACAGGGAAATGAGTTCTCCTCTTGACTGTTTACCTATGTTGGCTAAGCAAAGTACAGGCTGTATATGTCCTATTAGTGACCCAAACTTAGACACTTGAATTCTGAAGAAAGATGAATGGTTTTAAAAAAATCAGAATTGCTAAGCTGTGAACACTTTGGAGGCATAGAGGAACATTCTCAAGAATCTGAGACTTCCAAGTCTCTTGTGTACACTTTACAATGTAAAAGAGGCCAAAGATTCAGGTTTGGATGTTTCCGCCTTAAAACTATCTGTACAAAAATCAAGTACCTTCAACAGTGTTAATGCCAGTGTGTGTCATCGTTCAGTTTTGGGGAGACAGTCTTTTCTGTAAGGTGGTAATAAAAGGAATTCATCTAGTCCCTCAGCTTTCTTCACAGAAAAACAAAACAAAATAAACAAAAAACATACCTTCACTATTTATGAAGAAAATGCTACATCATCAGACTCCTCCACATTAAGAAGTTTTCCCCAGAAGGTTATTCCCTCTATATTAACTTCCATATTAACTTACAAGAACCTTGGAAGAGTGGGAAAATGACACTTCCCTTATGCAAATATGACACAAGATCCGAGATCTGTTGTTTCTAATAATGGACCAATCCTTAGAGAAGTCATTTACTGTTACCTTATTAGGAAATACCAAGACAACAGAAAATGTCATGGTTATTTCAGATGGGAAGAAAAACTTCAAAGGGAAGGCGTAGTTCTGTCTCACTCCACAGGGAGACCAACTGCTAGTTCAGAAACAAGCTGACAGAATTTTCCTACTAAAATTTTTTTAACTCAGACCTTCGATGTAATGTGTGAATTAATGAACTTTAATATGACTTTTAGTGTAGGAAAGATAAAATATAGAGCTTATAGTTATGAGGACTGAGAGACCATATCTGAGCTCTGTATTAAACACACACACACAGAACTGAAAAAGAAAAAAGAAAAATTTCATGACTTTTTATTTTCATTTACCAGTTCTGAAACATCTGTCTTTTCTGTGTTCACTTATGAATTCCCAAACACAAGTATTTTGGTAATGTGTAGTTCATATATTAATATTAGCTGAATTTATCATACTTTCTTGAAGAACCACAATGAAATATTTTGTAAACTATGTTAAGTTGAATAAAATAAGCAACAATAGTATATGATACCTCATTTTTTCATTTTAAAATTTGCTATAGGGCATGTGGCCTCACCATAGAGACAGAGAGAGAGACAGAGAAAGGGAGAGTGAGAAAACACCCAATGGGGGGACAGCCACACTGCAATCCCTTCTTCTCCGTTCTCTTCTTGGTATTTTAGGTATATACACACACGTGCCTGGTGTGTTTTTCAAGCCATCAGGTCTGGGACTGGAACCACATAGTCGGCCATGTGAGATCCAGCTACCTTAACCACTGTGCCATGTAAGTGGCCCGATATCTTATTTTTATAGTTAGACTTTAGAACAAATTTTAAACTGTTCCTAAGTTATTTGAATTAAGATACGACTAATAAAAAGTTCTATCCTCAGGTAGATACTTGTACTTTAAGAATTAGGATAATCTTGTAACTGATCTTTTATATTTTTGGAAAAACTTTTGAAAGTTGTTTAGTTTTATTTCAAGGCTTGAAGATGGTTCTGATTTGGATAGCAACGTATTGAAAGAACTGGCCAGCTGGTGATGTGGTTAAACAGCTGGATTCCACATGGCTGACTGAGTGGTTCGAGTTCTGGACTTAGCAGCTTGAAAAACATGTCAGGCACATATGTGTGCATGCTCAACATCCTAAGAGGAGAATGGAGAAGAAGGGATGACAGTGTGGCCATCTCCCCTGGGAGGTGCTTTCTCTGTGTCTTTCCAGTGAATGCACATGCTGTGTAGTAAAATTTTAAAAAGGAAAAAATATATATAGAAAAAATTATCCATCTAAGTTTTGAAAACCAATGAGACAGAGATTTAGTGCAGAAGCTGCTTCTATACCACCCATTTTAAGATTCCTTAGCAACTGATGACATTATTTCTATATTACTGAATTATAGGAACATTGACACTAATGCAGAGGAATTCACCAAATAATTTTATTCCAAAACTCAGCCTTAATTGTAATAACCACAAGATATTTTGAATTAACAGTTTATAAGCATAATACCACATTTTAATTGCCTCCCTATAATCTTGTGGTTTCTACAGATTTATAGATACTATGTTCTAAAGAGGCCATGTTTGTTTGATAGATGCCATGATCATGAGTGGAATGAACTTAAATTGTTTTCCATTCTTTCTTCCTCAGTTCATTTCTTTTAATCTTCCCACTGACCGTCTTTGGCAGCTCTTGGATAAATTCTATCTGTTGGTATCAAGGGGAAGAAAATTAGCCCAAAAATTTTCTTTTTTTTTTTTTTTGCTATAGGGCATTTGTGCTTGTACCCTCTGTCAGAGAGAGACAGAGAGATAGAAAGTGAGAAATCATCCCCTGGGGGGATGGCCACACTGCAATCCCTTCTCCTCCATTCTCCTCTCAGGATCTTGGGCATGCACGCACACGCGCACCACGTGAGTTTAAGCCTCCGGGACTCAAACTGTGGTCGACTAACTACATGAGAGTTCCGCGACAGCCATTATGTTAACTGCTGGTCCCGAGTTTTCATCTTTTTTTTTTTTTTTGGAGAGGTTTTCGCTATAGGGCGCGTGTGCTCGCCAGACAGACAGAGAGAGACATAGAGACAGAAAGCGAGAAATCACCCCCTGGGGGGATGGTCACGCTGCAATCCCTTCTCTTCCATTCTCCTCTTGGGATCTTGGGCACGCACGCATACACGCCCGGCGTGAGTTTTAAGCCACCGGGTCCAGGACGTGGGAGTCCAGCGACATAGCCATTACGCTAACTGCTGGTTCCCAGTTTTCATCTTTTTATAAGGCCAATTATATAGCAATTCTATTATGAATTCTAGGTAGAAGAATTAGGACACTCTTTAGGATAAGTTTTTGTAACAACTGAAAAGGGAGAGAGGTATTTCTGAAATTATCCTTGATATTTAGTATTTGCTGCAGATCCACCAAATTAGATTAGGGGGTTCATTTTAATCTCAAAGATTCTGATTCTTATCCACATGTCATCAGTTCAGTGTGAGGAGCATATTCACTACAAAAGAAAAAAGAAGCAGCTGAAATTTTTGAGAACTCTGAACAAATAGTTCTCCTAATTAGGACACCTACCTTTCTGGGATATTTGTAAGGTGCTGTAGTTCTTTGTACATGTTCCTGAATCTCCTTTTTTAGTTGTTCTGGATCAAGTGACTTGTAATCAGGGTTCAGAACAATAAAAGCCTTTACCACCTAAAATAAATATTTGAAAACCAGAAAGATAAGTTGTGTATTTTTATGTTTTCATAAGTCTTATTCACATTCTCTAAGTGAAATCTGAATTACTGGTGACGTGAGCCTGGGGGTTTAATAAAATTGATCCTAGCTCTGTGCTCTTAAGCCAGCAGTTGACTCCCAAGCCTTTATTCTGCACCTGTCTAAGAGAACTTCAGGGACCTCTGCTTTGTTTATGATTTACTCTTGAACCTTCATCTAACTACACTTTCAAATCTACTTTCTGGCATGTTTGTTTACCTCTGCCCTTGACTTCTTGCCTCATTTTTTATCTCCTTATATAAAGTTTCCTCTTGCGAGGGCTGGCTCTGTGCTGCAGCTGTAATAGGCTGCTCAAGGCAGCTGGATCTTACATGGTGACCATGATTCGAATCCTGGGCACTGCCAACCCAAGACACATCATACACGTGAGCAAGTGCCCAGGATCTGACATGCTGGCCAAAGGGATGCAGAGTGACCAACAGAGGGTCTTCCCTTCCTTCATCAGCCTCATGTGTGCATACATGCACTCTATATGAATAAAGAAAAAAATTTGAAAAAAGAATAAATACATAAAGTTTCCTCTTGCAAACTTGGCGGTGCTCTAATAAACACAACCTCTTGTGCAACAACCCAGCCTGGCCTAGCCCAGCTTCGAGGTCTTCACTCTACTGGGGCCTTTATAAACTAGCCACACTGGGTTTGCCATATCCTTCTTTCTTTTTTTTTCTTTTGGAGAGGTTTTGTTGCTATAGGGCGCATGTGCTTGCCAGAAAGACAGAGACAGAAAGCGAGAAATCATCCCCCAGGGGGGTGGCCATGCCACAATCCCTTCACCTCCATTCTCCTCTTGGGATCTTGGGCACGCACACACACGCACCCGGTGTGAGTTTAAGCCACCAGGTCCGGGACTTGAACTGTGGTCGATTACATGGGAGTCCAGCGACATAGCCATTACACTAACTGCTGGTCCCGCCATATCCTTCTTGAAGGAAACAGTTCACTAGACAGTGCACTCTTCTTATAAGGCTGTGAATATTCTGATAGTCACTTTGCTGACACACTTCCATGGCCCTGAGGAACAAGGGAAGAAATGATGCTGGCTGTTACTATCTAACCAGCAGAAGGCAGGAAAGACCTTATGCTCACAAGTCCTGTTTCCCAAAGTTTATCCTTCCTTAAAATGTTTCGAGGATGGGAACCGGCAGTTAGCGTAATGGCTATGTTGCTGGACTCCCATGTAGTCGACCGCGGTTCAAGTCCCGGACCCGGTGGCTTAAATTCATGCCAGGCGTGCGTGTGTGCGTGCGTGCCCAAGATCCCGAGAGGAGAATGGAAGAGAAGGGATTGCAGCGTGGCCATCCCCCCTGGGGGGTGATTTCTCGCTTTCTGTCTCTATGTCTCTCTCTGTCTGTCTGGTGAGCGCACGTACCCTATAGCAAAAACCTCTCAAAAAACAAAACAAAAATGTTTTGAGGAAACCTGCCTAGAGTTTTTGGATCTTTAATGGAGAAAACAGAAAGATATGCTAGCCCTCATGTGTAGCCCCTTCAAGGGTGCATTTGAGGTCCTATCATATTCTCTCCTGGGACACTGCCATTCACTGCTCACTCCCCACCACCCCCAGAGGCATGACTCTTAGAGCCATCAACAAATGTGCACCAAGTTAGGATTACCAGCAGAGGGTGTACCATGGAACGATGCTTCCCTGGAGGCATCTTCCCGGGAAGTTTCCTGTGGCCTTTTTATGATCAAATAGCCTGCATTTAGGCAAATTAGGTCTTATTTGAACTCATGGGTCGTGTGTCCATCTTAAAGATAAGTTAGCAAAATTCCTATTTAGAAAACACCCCAAATCGTAAATCACCTAGGACAACCATTTGCTGACAAATGGAGACTTGCATATTGAGCAGGTGAGTCATTTGGGTGATTCTATTTCAATGAACTACAGTTTAATAGTATGTATTAGAGGAATCAGCAGATGGCATAATGGTTATGTTGATGGACTCCTGTGTAGTCAACCATGGTTCAAGTCTCATACCCGGCAGCTTGAAACTTTGCCAGGCACTTGTGCACGAGTGCCCCAAATCCCGAGAGGAGAATAGAGGAGAAGGGATTGTAGTATGGCCATCCCTGCTGAGAGGTGATTTCTCGGTTTCTGTCTCTCTGTCTCCCTCTCTCTGTCTCTCTGACAAGCGCACATGCCCTACAGCAAAAATCTCTCTTTAAGAAAAACTCCTTATAAAAAAGTATGTATTAGATTGCCAACAAATATAAAGTTGAGATGAGTCAGTTCTACCTCTCCTCTGATGGGGTCTGGGCTGCTGACAACAGCTGACTCTGCAACCGAAGGGTGCTCAATCAGGGCACTTTCTACCTCAAATGGCCCAATTCGATAACTGGAAATAAACACATGACAGGACTTTTAAGAATGAGTAGTGGGTTCACTTCAGAATGCTGATGATCAGGTAACACAAACAAATGCACAAATGGAAAAGAAAATTACCCAGAGGATAATATGATATCATCTGATCTTGCAACAAACCAGAAGTACCCATCTTCATCCATATACCCCTTATCCCCGGTGATATAGAAATTGCCTCGCAGAGTTGAAGCTGTTTTTGAAGGATTATCCTGTAAAGCAAATAGTATTTTTAAATATGAATGTGAATGTGACTCTTCATTTGGATTTTTAAATGTTTGAAGGAAAAGTCTGGCTTCTTTGGAAGGCTTTAGAATGAAGAAAAGCAAAGAAATAGCAGTGCATTGCAGCATAGAGCTAGCCCAACCTAAGAAAGTACAATTACAAGACCAGGTACACACCTCCACCTTGAGAATATTCTTAGATCACAAAATAAATATTGCAGGAGCTCAGAGGAGTAGGCTAAATGAAGTCTTTTGCTAAGAGAAGTAAATAAGAATTAAAAAGAGACACCAACACCTAATAATTCAAAGAGTAGACAGAATTTTTATTTTTGTTTTATAGAATATGAGAGAAATGGTTCTTTAACTCTGGCATAAGAAGAAAAATGAATGAAGTATTGATATATTATGTAAAATTCACTGGCAAGTAGAAACCAGTCCTGGACTTTTCATTATGTTGATATAAACTTTGCCTCTAATTTGTATACCATGATTAGAGATGAAAATATGCTTGTAAACAGAGTTCTTGGAAAGCTCCCAGTAAAGGGAATTAATCCCACTGTCCAATTCCTTATCTCATTCCTCCCAAGAAGCAAGAGTACTAATCAGATTTCTGCAAAGTGAGTTGATCCTATTTGGTAGTTGAGAAGATCAAAGGATTAAGAGTGCACAGGCATTCTAGGGCTTCCTTCAATGGGCCCGGTACAGTGGACAGGAACTAGAGTGCCCTTTTTTGAGTAAGCAATTGGATATTTCTTCAATTTTCCATCTGTGGGCTTACTATTTAAGACAATAACTCTTTCAAGAAAAGGCCAATTACCAATCCTAGATGTGTTTTATGGCAAGTAGGGATAGTTACCAAGCAGGTTTTTAAAAATAATTATTTTATTTAACTTTATTTATTTATTTATTTTAATTTGACCAGAGAGGGAGAAAGAGCAAGGGTGAGAGCAAGAGAGCAAGGAGGAAGGTGAGAAAGCAAGCCACCAGGTACAGGACTTGAACCACAGTCAGCCATGTGGCAGTTCAGCACCATTAACCACCATGCCACCTGCCAGCCCGTTACCAAGCACTTTTGAGAAATAGAAAATAGAGATTTAGTAAGACTCTTACTACATAATGACTAAAAAGGCCAAATGGTCGCTCAGGTAGAACTTGAATGCCAATATCCCCTTCTTGTCCAGGAGGTAGAACATTGCCATTTATATCTAAAATCTGGAATAAAACAGAACACTTTCTTTAAGGGAATTTTTATTTAGTGCCCTATCTTAAATTTTCACTTGGCATGTTTTGCTTTTTACTATTAAGAATGCAGACTTCAAAACATTGTAAATATATTTTAAATTCATAAGAGAAATTTATTTAAATTATCACAGAAAATACAATCAAATGCAGGTTATCAAAATGTGAAAGAAAAATTACAAGTTTTTTTAAGTTTTTCCATTCAGCAATAATTATATTTTGGTAAAATCCTTTGAGACAATATAGATATAGGAAAATATAGGATTACTTTGTTAATATACAGTTTTGGGAAACCTGCTTCTATCACTTCATTGTCTTTTCTTCATAATGGTTTTCTTTCTTTCTTTTTTCTTTTTTTTTTTTTGAGATTTTTGCTATAGGGCACGTGCACTTGCCAAAGAGACAGAGAGAGACAGAGAGACAGAAAGTGTGAGAAATTATCCCTCATGGGTGGCCACGCAGCAATCCCTTCTCCTCCATTCTCCCTGGGGGATTTTGGGACACACATGTGCCTGGCTTCAGTTTTAAGCAGCCAGACCTGGGACACGAACAGTGGTTGACTATACAGGAGTCCAGCAATGTTAAAAAAGTCAATCACCTATCACAGACTATTCTTTAGTAAATGGGAAAATACATGAAATCTATGTGTAGGGAGAATCATGTTCCTCATTGTTCAAGGAGTCCTAACGCCTTTAAACATGAAAATGAGTTTTGGGCTTTAACATTGTAGGAATCTAAACATCCAGCTGGTTGGAGCACATCCCCAGGTGGTAGACAGTGATTACAGATGCTCTTAGCTAAGTAACAAGAGACCCAGTAGTAAGAGTCCTTGGGAAAAAATGAAGGTGACAATACTGATTAGGGATGTGGGCAGGTTACTGCTTTCTTTTCAGCCACATCATTTTTGCATTCTAGGATAGCTGCCCCAGAAGACCACGTGACTAAATTAGTGAGGAGGGCCAGCAAATTATATGAAGGTTAAGGTGTCCAGATCCCACATGGCTAACAGCACAGTTTGAGTCCTGGATCAGTGGTTTGAAAAATACACAGGGCACATGTGCGTGCATGCCCAAAATCCCAAGAGAAGAATAAAGAAAGGATTGTGATGTGGTCATTGCCCCCACCCTACCCCATCAGGGATGCTTCTCACTTTGTCTCTGTCAGTTTCTGCCAACCACATGTATCCCATAGCAAAAAATTTTAAAAATTAGTGGGAAACCTGGGGAAGCTCATTACAGTTGGGGTTACTGTGAGTATAGCCATGACTCTGAGACTATGATGGCCACACACGTTGAGAATTATTGTCAAGGGGAGATGAAAAAGAACACAGCTGTGTGGACTGCCAGCGTCATTACCTGTTATACAGATATGCCCATGCTTGCTTACTTATCGGTATTTGTTTCTCCAACCTACAGCAGCCTATTAACCAATGGACTACTGTTAAGCTTGCTACAGAATGTCAAGAGGGTCCTATGTTTTTTCTTTTTTTTTTTTTGGAGAGGTTTTTCGCTATAGGGCGCATGCGCTCACCAGACAGACAGAGAGAGACATAGAGACAGAAAGTGAGAAATCACCCCCCTGGGGGGATGGTCATGCCACAATCCCTTCTCCTCCATTCTCCTCTCGGGATCTTGGGCACGCACGCACACACATCTGGGATGTGAACTGTGGTCAACTAACTACATTATAGTCCAGCAAAGTAACCATTACGTCATCTGCTGGTCCCCATTTGCCCATCTTTTAATTGGATTGTTTATTTTTCTGTGAGTAAGCTGTATGGAGGTTCCTCAAAGACCTACAAATAGAACTATCATATGATCCAGCAATTCCACTCCTGGGTATCTACCCAAATGATAGGAATGCACTCAGTTGGAAAAACACTTGCCATTTATTACGGCATTACTCACAATTGCTAGGACCTGGAATCTACCCTAATGTCCACGAACAGATGAACGGATTGAAGAAGTGTGGCACATCTACACTGTGGACTACTACTCAGCCATAAAAAAATGAAACCCTGACATTTGAGAGAAAGTGGATGAAAATGGAAGAGTTAATGATAGGTGAAACAAGCCAGACCATGGAAAAGAGGGGTCTTTCAGTCCAGCACCTAGCGAAGCGAGAATCCATGAGCATCTGAGGTAGCCTGTTCCTTTAACTGAAGAAGCCTCTGTTCCAAACCTGGTCTTCTAGTCCAATACCTAGTGAAGTGAGTTTCCACACACTGACTGTCTAGACAGGTCTAGGTCCACAGAAGCAAAACATCTGAATATTTTTAGGGTCATAGAAAACCTCAAACATCCTAAATTGCTACAGAAAGGGAGAAACTCATCTTCATAACTCTGAATTCAAATCTCTTTCTGTGGATACCATGTTGCAAAACACAGTAGCAGAGGAGAAATTGGCATAGAAGTATCTCACAGTAAAGTGAAGCACACGAGCTTAATTGTAGACATCTCCAACAAATTAGCCAAATGTAAATATACCATCAAATGACTGAAAATCAGAGAAGAGAGACTGCAAAGTGAGCAGCAGGGAGAAATACGGAGCTGCAGAGAGCACGGCTCATCTCCTCCCACACACCTCTGAACTCTTAGTTGAAATCCTGCAACTCAGCCCAGGTGCACCTGTCCTTCAGAAACTGGGAGGCCTTTGTAATATCCAGTTCCATCGACAAAAGTGCAGGTTGCTTGGTGAGGATCAGGGAAAGGGATCTGCAGAGATATTGTGGGCCATCTCCTCCTGCACACCTCTTACACTCAGAATTAACTCCAAGAAAATAAGAAGAACATATAATCCATCAGATGACCAAAAACCACTATAGAGGCACAAGAAATATGGGAAACCAAGAAAATATCTCTTCCCCCAAGGGGAAAGAACAGCCCTTCATCATCGACAGACAATACAATGGAACTTGTGGAAATGTCAGATAAAGAATTTAAGATAGTCATAGTGACAAAGCAAACAGAGATGCAAGAGAAGAGAGACAACAAACTCCAAAAGATGCAGGAAAAAAGAGACAATGAATTCCAGGAGATGAGAAAGTTCTTGCATGATCTGAAAGAGGAAATACACACCATAAAAAAGAATCAAATGGAACTATTAGAAACTGAAGGCTGTAATACAGGAAATCAAAACATCCCTTGAAAGTATGAAAAGCAGATTAGATTATGCAGAAAATTGAATCTCAGATTTAGAAGACAGAACCTCTGACCTAGAAAAATTCACCAAAAAGACTGAGAAAATAGCCCCCCAAGATGAGAATAATATGCAGGAAAAAGATGCAGGAAAAAAGAGACAATGAATTCCAGGAGATGAGAAAGTTCTTGCATGATCTGAAAGAGGAAATACACACCATAAAAAAGAATCAAATGGAACTATTAGAAACTGAAGGCTGTAATACAGGAAATCAAAACATCCCTTGAAAGTATGAAAAGCAGATTAGATTATGCAGAAAATTGAATCTCAGATTTAGAAGACAGAACCTCTGACCTAGAAAAATTCACCAAAAAGACTGAGAAAATAGCCCCCCAAGATGAGAATAATATACGAATGACACTAGATACCATTAGACTCCCAGACATCTGGATAATCGGTATCCCCGAAGGTGAAACGAAACTAATCAGGGCATGATAATCTATTCCATGAAATCCTCAATGAAAACTTTCCAAACCTAAAGAGGCATTCAAATATCCAGACTCAAGAAATACAAAGGACCCCATATAGAATCAACCCAAGAAGACCTTCTCCAAGGCACATCATAGCCAGATTGACCAAAACCACAGACAGATACAAGATACTAAAATTGGCAAGAGAGAAACATAAAGTTACTTTCAAAGGATATCCCATAAAGTTAATGTTGGACCTCTCACTGGAAACAACGCAAACAAGGAAAGAATGGGAAAATATATTTGAAGTGTTAAATGAAAAACAATTTCAACCAAAAATACTATACCCAGCAAAATTATCCTTCATATGGAAAGAAAAGATAAAGACATTCTTAGATAAGCAAAACCTGAATGAATTTACCAACACTAGACCAGCTGTTCGTGAAATTCTGAAGGGAGTGCTATACCAGGAAAAGTAAAGATAGACAGACATAGAGAACAAAAAATGACCAAGGAAAAGGCCAATTTAATGATAGGTACAAGTTTGGAAATATCCATAATAATGTTGAATGGAAAGATTTAAATGGAAAGATCAGACCACAGTAACACTGAAAATTCAACAAAAGAGAGATTACATGAGACTGAGCTGGTGAAATGGAATTCTATGACTTCTCTCTAAAACATCACTAATTCTCTTCTATGTTTTGTCTTCCAGATTTAAGGATTTGGGTTTTCTTGAGTTGTTGATACATTCAGCGATTTGCTAATTTTTTAAAAAAATCAAAACATAAACTTTTCTCCTTTCCTGACCCTTTTGCAATTGGAAAATATTTGTAAGCATTCTTATTTTGTGGCAGAATGGTTAGTTGTATAAGTTCAGTAATACAATAGTATCTGTTGCCTTGCATCAGAAATTGAATTCTTATGGGGCTTTGTTCAAATAAAAGACTAAATTGAGACTAACCTAATTTGTGTGTGTGTGCAAATAAGTTAGTTTATATCTCTTTTTAGTAAAATGGGAAGTGAAGAGAGAAAAAATTTTTTAAGAAGTCATAGTGTATTTGTCACTAGATTTTAGCTTTGTCCATATTTTTAGTTTGAGATCTCTCTTGAATCAATAAAATGTGGGGGATTTAGATGTTTGATCCACCTTGACTTGATTTTTGTCAGAGGTGAGAGGTAGGGGTTTAGATTCATCTTTCTGCAAAAATAAATAAATAAATAATTAAAAATAAAATGTGGGGGGGAAAGTTTAGTATGGAAAAGAGGGAGGGGAAGGGAGAAGGAAAAAAAAGTAAACATATGTTTGATCAACAGAAAATGAGAAGCTGTTTGCTGATGATAACGTATATAGTAATATCTTTGTCTTATCTGACATGTATGGTATTCGTGCTGGAAAAAGAAATGTTGTACACTGTATAGATATGTGTGATTGAATGTGAATAAATAAAAATAAATAAAAAAAAAAAGAGAGGCATTGTATGTCCCCACTTAGTATATACCAAATGGCTGCATTCAATGGAAGAAATGCAAAGACTGGAAGGTATAAAAACATGGAATTTCCTAGTCAATAGGTGTACCATGTGGATACAAGAGGCAGTGTGGAAGAAGGGTGTACCATGTGGATACAAGAGTCAGTGTGGAAGAAGGGTGGGGAATGGGGAGGGGGAGAGCAAGGGAATCAGGGGAAAAAGGAAAGAAGCAAAACATTTTAGGGACAAAAGAATAGAAAATTATCTGCTGCTACTGATGTGTATGGTAATAACTTTGACTGCACTAATATACAGTGTATTCATGCTGGGAAAACTCATTTTGTATGCTCTAATGACATACAGTGATTAAATATAAAATAATAGTAATACTTTTTTTAAAAAAAGAGTTAATATTGGAGCCGGATTGCTTGGGATTGAATCCCAGCTGCAGCAGCTAGCAGCTATGTGACTTCTGGCAAGGTCTTCAACTTCTCTATGCCTCTGTAAAATGTACCTTTCATAGGTTTCTTCTGGGAATTGAATGGTTAATGTTTCTTAAATGCTTACAACTGCATGGTTTAATACAGGTACCTGAAAACTAATGAAGATGAATAAGCTAATGTTTCTAACCCATTTTCATCTTTCCATTAAAATTAAGGTATCACAGAAGTAACATGGAATCGTTGCCAACACAAGGAGAGTAGTGTAGGCAGGCGAGAGGGAGGTGGCAAACAGATTGGGCTGTTAAACTTCTGGAAGAGGATGTGCAAACCTTAACATTGAAAGCAGGAGAAGGCTTTCCCATTGAGCCAGGTTTAATTTTCATTCCCTTAAAATTTCCACAGATTAGCACCTATGTGAGAGAAAGAAGAAAAGTTAATCCAACCTTAGAAACTTAAAATTCATTCATTTTTCCACCATGCATTCATTTGACAAATATTTTTTTGAAAATCTACTATGGACCAGATTCAAAATAAAACAGTCTCTGCTATCATGCAATATGATAATAGATAATATACAAATAAATAGATAGGTAGGTATAGGTATATCAAGTAATAAAATTTAGTCACAGGGTTTGTGTTTTGTGTGTGTTTTGTTTTGTTTTGCCATATGGTGTGTTCTGTACTCACCAGAGAGAGAGAGAGAGAGAGAAAGGGAAAGGAAGAAAGCCCCTCCCAACGGGGTGTGGTCATGCTGCAATCCATTCTCCACTACTCCATCCTATTGGGATTTAGGGCACACATGCACACACATCTGGTGTATATTTCAACCTGCCAGAGCGTGCCCAAAATCTTGAGAGGAGGACAGAGAAGGGACTGTGGTGTGACCATCCCTCCAAGGGATAATTTCTTGCCTTCTGTCTCTCTATCTCTTTCAGTCTCTACAGAGAGCACATGCATCCTATAGCAAAAATCTCTCTCTCTAAAAAAGTTTTTTAGCCACTCCATTCTTTCGCAACCCCTCAAACAATAATTAAGATAGAACAGATAGATTGGTTTTCATTCACCAGACTTAATCGCATGCTGGCTCTTTTTCAGTGAGGTCAGGTACCGTTTCAGTCTGTCCGTATCCTTCATAGATATCCAGGCCTGTCCCTTTCCTCCATTGTTCAGCTACTTCAGGGTTCATCGGTTCCCCAGCACTCAGGCAGTGCTTTAAACTCTTGAACTTATAGCTTCTCGGAAACAGCAAGTTAGACATTAGAGGAAAAATGGAAAGAAGTGGCAATTTAGATGATCTCTAATAAACTTCTATTTAAAAATTAAGCAAAATCAATTTAAAAATATTTACCTGTGAAATAACAAGAAATATATTAGTGGTTCTTCATGGGTTCCTAGCACAGAACTCCTAAAGCCCTTGTGTTTCCTTTGTGATAGGAAGCATCGCAGAGGATGTTAGGAGCATCTTTTGTTCTGATAGTTGGTCTTTGACCCCGTTTATGACAGAGCTCCTAAATACTTTGGAATTTCCTAGTCCATAGGTGTACCATGTGTTCTAATGAAGTGACTCCATAGTCTCCTGGATAGCTTGAGGATAGAGGGTGATCACCAAAAAAACCAAGCCATGATGAGAAGCTTAGAGCTCTCAACCTCATCCCTCATCTTCCAGGGAGGAGAGAGAAGCTGGAAATTGATTTAATGATCATGCCTATGTGATGAAACCTCCAAAAAAAACCCCCTAGGTTTGAAGGCTCTGTGTGCTGGGAGGATGTGCACTCCAACTGCACAGGAACAGCTCTTACACTTGGGACTCTTCTGGACCTCGCCTTGTGTACCTCTTCGTCATCTGGCTGTTCATTGGAATCCTTTATCATAAGCCTTTATAATAAACGAGTACATGTCATTAAGTGTTTCCTGAGTTCTGAGAGCCATCATAGCAAACTACTGAAGTTAAGGAAGAGTTGTGGGAACCTCTGACTTATAGCTGATTAGTCAAAAGCACAAGTGACAACTTGGACTTGTGACAGACATCTGAAGTGGGGGCAGTCTTGTGGGGCTGTGCCCTCAACCTGTGAGATCTGACAACTCCAAGTAGAAAGTGTCAGAATTGAATTAAATTGCAGGGTATCTGGCTACTCTCATAGAATTGGTCAGTTTTGGGGGAAAAAAGTCCCTCACATCTGGACATCAGAGGTACTGAGTGCTCTAAGTGTCTATAGGAAAATGGTTGCCAGTCCACGGATGGATTACCAGTCCATCCTTTCAAATGGAGTCAGTAATAGATGAAAAGACATGCTGCAATTTTCTATTTGCTTATTTCTATTTGCTGCAATAAGGTTCCAAATAGGAGCAATTTCTCTACTTCCTCAGCTCAGGTAACAGCCACCATCCAAAAGATTAAACGCCCTCTTATCCATAACGACTGGGCTCAAAACTGTAGACATGGCTGAAATCTCTCTTTTCCTGTCCTTGCTTGGGGGCTGTGCTAGATACAGTAATTATCATTCACAGACTGGAAGCAAGAAGATGGAGGAATACCTACTAGTCTGGAACTATTCTTTTAGACATAAATGTATGTTATAGCTTCCTTTCCCTCTCTCTCTGACTAAATACCTATTTGCCAACATTTCTTACCTGGTCATATCATGCTGTACAAGCATCCGGTATGCAGTTGGTGCTGAACAGAAGACGGTGATGGGAAACTTGGAGAGTGTCTGCAATTTAGAAAGAGCAAACCCTTGGTCTTGCTACAACTTTAGTAAGTGTTGAAATGTCTATGGTAGACACAGCACAATTTAAACATTGTCTATTTGGTTGTAAATGCACTGATGCCTTTTCTCTGTATATCATTTCAGGTTTATCATCAGTCTGGATGTGAAATATCTTAAATCATGTCCCCTTCTGATCTCCGCAAGTATACTTTATTACCAGTCCTGTCAGAGATACTGCTAATTCATCCCAAAATGCTGAGCTCCTATGCTCTGCCTTACTTGCAAGATGGAAGTTGGTTCAAAACGGGGCAAATAGTGTGCAAATACACATGCTCCCTGGATCCATGGAGAAAAAACACTACTCCATGCAGACTTTGCCCAGCCTGTGTCTGAGGTATTCCACATCACATCTGAGGGGGTCAAATCCAGCCAGAACCTAGAAAAAAAAAAGAACAACCTCTGATTAATATAAGAGAAGAAATGTAAAAGATCAGTATATGAATCATCTTTGCAGCTGTGACATTTCAAACTGAAGTACCTTCCATTTATAGATAATCCTAAACCAAAACTGCAGTGAGTGTGTGCTGTCATTTTAGGAGATCCGGTTGTTCCACTGGTAAAGTAAATGGTCATCAACTCATTGTGCTTTGTCTTCACGCAGGTGTGGTTGTCGCTGGCATGTCTAGAAAGGAAACACTACAGTGATTCTTCATGGAGACCAGCGCCATAGACTTATAGTGACAAGAAACTATCTCTTGGACCTCTTCATCTCTTGAATCAGGCCCTAGTGACTTAGGTGGAAATGGAAGGTAAGAGCAATCTTTTGCTCACCATCTTTTTAGGTACTTAATTTTTTAAAAAGAATTATTTAATATTGTTTATTCATCCAACCATTTTCATTTGACCAGAGAAAGACAGACTCACAGAGAGAAAGAAACTGAGAAAGCAAGTCACCATGTCTGAGATTCAAACCATGGTCAGCCATGTGAGAGTGTCGAGCACCTTAACCACCACGCTACCTGCTGACCCTTTTTTTAGGTACCTTTTAGAATCAAACTAAAGCCCATTTGTAATAGCTGATTTCACCACTTTTTACTGTATGATGAAGAATAACTGAGGCATTTATAAAGACTCAGGAGTTTTATGAAAGTTCCAGCAGAGTGAAAATTCTATGATCTCATAATTATGGGTAAATGAAGTATGTCCTCCTCTCCTCCATTCTGGATGCTTTAAGATGTGATTTAAATTAAAAAACAAAAACAAAAATAAAAACAGGTGGGCCAGCCAGTGGTGTGGTGGTTAAGGTAGCTGGGTCTCACATGGCCGCTGTGCAGTTCAAGTCCTCAACTAGCAGCCTGAAAAATATGCTGGGCACAAGTTCATGCCCAACAGGAGGGAGAAATGGAAGAGAAGGGATTACAGCATGACCATCCTCTATGGAGGTGACTTCTCCTTTGTCTAGTGAATGCATATACTCTCTGGCAAAAATTAACAACAACAACAACAAAAAGTATGTTAATACAAGCCCTGGGTAATGGCAAGGGTCAGCAAACCTCAGCCTCAGGCCAAATCTGGCCAGCCTCCTGTTCTTTTATTTATTTTTTTAAAAAATTTCCAGAGGGCATATGCACTTTCTAGAGAGAGAGGGACAGAGAATGATAGATAGAAAAAGCATCTTCAAATGGTACATAGTCATGGGGTAATCCTGTCTCCTTTATTTTTCTATTCTTTCAGGACTTTGGACATACATGCACATGCACTTAGCACATTTTTCAATAATTCAGAGCTAGGACTCAAACTGTGTGATCAGCCAGGTGGGATCTGGTTCCCCTGACCACCAGGGACATAGAGTAGGTCCTGCCTTCTGTTTTTGTACAGTTTTATTGGCACAATGCCATGCCCATTCATTGACATATTATTTGTGGTTGCTTTCACACTACAATGGCAGAGCTGAGTCATAACAGTAACTGTAACAGCCTGCAAGGTAGCCTGTATTTGCTAGCTTTCCCTTTTTTTTGGAGAGGTTTTTGCTATAGGGCACGTGCGCTCGCCAGAAAGACAGAGAGAGACAGGGAGACAGAAAGTGAGAAATCACCCTTCTCCTCCATTCTCCTCTTGGGATATTGGGCATGCACGCACATGCGCCCCTGCGTGAGTTTAAGCCACTGGGTCTGGGACTTGAACCGCGGTCGACTACATGGGAGTTCAGTGACATAGCCATTACGCTAACTGCTGGTCCCCAACTAGCTTTCCCTTTCATAGAAAACGTTTACTGACTCCTGAAAGGTTGGTTTGCCTGTTGTTTTAATTTGTATTTTTCTGATAACGACTGGGTGAACATCTCGTTGTTGCCTTTCTTTTGGGGAAGCTGTTGTACAACAATTAGGACTACTTACTTCATCATCTCCTTGAGATTCCCCCACCCCTCTCTGGACTTCTGAGACACAATTAGCTTGGCGTGCAGATTTTCACATTTAGATGCAATAGCATCTACAGCTGGGGCTAAAGCCTCAGTGGTAATAATGCACTTTGCTTTTGAAGACTGTAGTCTGTAGAGGATGTCCTTCTGGGTCAGTTGAGTGGTCCCTGGAATTAAAACTGTCCCTAAAGGAGCAGGAAAGAAGCCATATTGAACAAAGAGCATCTGTCATCATGCCAGTTAGGGTAGCATAGATAGCACATGTACATTTTGTATTTCTCAGGATGAGTTAGTTATTTTACCGGGGAGGTGTCTATTTGCCTTACTTTATTCTGCTTTTGCTTTTCAAGGGATCTCAAAGTCTACGACTCCTATTGACCTATTATGAAAGGGTGTTAAATCTCTTCGAAGATTATCTAGACATTGAAGTCTGAAGAGGGTTTTGATTACAAAGTAATATTAACCAACAATTATTGAGTACTTGAGTGTCAGGCACTATTCCAAATGTTTTGTATGCTTTAATCCATTCACACCCCACCAAACAAAACAAAAGCTGTGAATAACTTGCCCAAGATCACGTACACAGCAAGCGTCAGTGAACAGACTGACTGTGCAGCCTGACTCCAAAGCTGTGTGCTTAACGTCTGCAGTCCAGTGTCTTTTAAAATTCATATGATTTTTCAGCATTTCTTTCCAAAGGGAAAGGTTGAGACCTGTATCATTTCTGTGGTTCTACTGCTGCCTGCTGTATATTACACTGTAAAATGTAGTGTAACAGTGTGGTGTGTTAGAGCCAGACATTCTTTTTTTAAATGTATTTATTTATGTTTTGTTTGAGAGGTTTTTGCTACAGGGCATGTGCACTTGCCAGAAAGACAGAGACAGAGAGACAGAAAATGAGAAATCACCCCTCCCGGGGGGGTGGGGGTGGTGGATGGCCACACCGCAATCCCTTCTCTTCCATTCTCTTCTTGGGATCTTGAGCACGCATGCACACGCACCCAAGTGTGAGTTTAAGCCACTGGGTCCGGGACTTGAACTGTGGTTGGCTACATGGGAGTTCAGCAATGTAGCATGTCCCATGATTTTTTATTTTACTTAGAATATATTATTATGGACCAGAACTTCCTTTACCCTGTGTCTTCCTAAACCTTTTCTTTCTCTTTTCTCTACTTCCTCAGCTCAGGTAACAGCCACCATCCAAAAGATTAAACGCCCTCTTATCCATAACGACTGGGCTCAAAACTGTAGACATGGCTGAAATCTCTCTTTTCCTGTCCTTGCTTGGGGGCTGTGCTAGATACAGTAATTATCATTCACAGACTGGAAGCAAGAAGATGGAGGAATACCTACTAGTCTGGAACTATTCTTTTAGACATAAATGTATGTTATAGCTTCCTTTCCCTCTCTCTCTGACTAAATACCTATTTGCCAACATTTCTTACCTGGTCATATCATGCTGTACAAGCATCCGGTATGCAGTTGGTGCTGAACAGAAGACGGTGATGGGAAACTTGGAGAGTGTCTGCAATTTAGAAAGAGCAAACCCTTGGTCTTGCTACAACTTTAGTAAGTGTTGAAATGTCTATGGTAGACACAGCACAATTTAAACATTGTCTATTTGGTTGTAAATGCACTGATGCCTTTTCTCTGTATATCATTTCAGGTTTATCATCAGTCTGGATGTGAAATATCTTAAATCATGTCCCCTTCTGATCTCCGCAAGTATACTTTATTACCAGTCCTGTCAGAGATACTGCTAATTCATCCCAAAATGCTGAGCTCCTATGCTCTGCCTTACTTGCAAGATGGAAGTTGGTTCAAAACGGGGCAAATAGTGTGCAAATACACATGCTCCCTGGATCCATGGAGAAAAAACACTACTCCATGCAGACTTTGCCCAGCCTGTGTCTGAGGTATTCCACATCACATCTGAGGGGGTCAAATCCAGCCAGAACCTAGAAAAAAAAAAGAACAACCTCTGATTAATATAAGAGAAGAAATGTAAAAGATCAGTATATGAATCATCTTTGCAGCTGTGACATTTCAAACTGAAGTACCTTCCATTTATAGATAATCCTAAACCAAAACTGCAGTGAGTGTGTGCTGTCATTTTAGGAGATCCGGTTGTTCCACTGGTAAAGTAAATGGTCATCAACTCATTGTGCTTTGTCTTCACGCAGGTGTGGTTGTCGCTGGCATGTCTAGAAAGGAAACACTACAGTGATTCTTCATGGAGACCAGCGCCATAGACTTATAGTGACAAGAAACTATCTCTTGGACCTCTTCATCTCTTGAATCAGGCCCTAGTGACTTAGGTGGAAATGGAAGGTAAGAGCAATCTTTTGCTCACCATCTTTTTAGGTACTTAATTTTTTAAAAAGAATTATTTAATATTGTTTATTCATCCAACCATTTTCATTTGACCAGAGAAAGACAGACTCACAGAGAGAAAGAAACTGAGAAAGCAAGTCACCATGTCTGAGATTCAAACCATGGTCAGCCATGTGAGAGTGTCGAGCACCTTAACCACCACGCTACCTGCTGACCCTTTTTTTAGGTACCTTTTAGAATCAAACTAAAGCCCATTTGTAATAGCTGATTTCACCACTTTTTACTGTATGATGAAGAATAACTGAGGCATTTATAAAGACTCAGGAGTTTTATGAAAGTTCCAGCAGAGTGAAAATTCTATGATCTCATAATTATGGGTAAATGAAGTATGTCCTCCTCTCCTCCATTCTGGATGCTTTAAGATGTGATTTAAATTAAAAAACAAAAACAAAAATAAAAACAGGTGGGCCAGCCAGTGGTGTGGTGGTTAAGGTAGCTGGGTCTCACATGGCCGCTGTGCAGTTCAAGTCCTCAACTAGCAGCCTGAAAAATATGCTGGGCACAAGTTCATGCCCAACAGGAGGGAGAAATGGAAGAGAAGGGATTACAGCATGACCATCCTCTATGGAGGTGACTTCTCCTTTGTCTAGTGAATGCATATACTCTCTGGCAAAAATTAACAACAACAACAACAAAAAGTATGTTAATACAAGCCCTGGGTAATGGCAAGGGTCAGCAAACCTCAGCCTCAGGCCAAATCTGGCCAGCCTCCTGTTCTTTTATTTATTTTTTTAAAAAATTTCCAGAGGGCATATGCACTTTCTAGAGAGAGAGGGACAGAGAATGATAGATAGAAAAAGCATCTTCAAATGGTACATAGTCATGGGGTAATCCTGTCTCCTTTATTTTTCTATTCTTTCAGGACTTTGGACATACATGCACATGCACTTAGCACATTTTTCAATAATTCAGAGCTAGGACTCAAACTGTGTGATCAGCCAGGTGGGATCTGGTTCCCCTGACCACCAGGGACATAGAGTAGGTCCTGCCTTCTGTTTTTGTACAGTTTTATTGGCACAATGCCATGCCCATTCATTGACATATTATTTGTGGTTGCTTTCACACTACAATGGCAGAGCTGAGTCATAACAGTAACTGTAACAGCCTGCAAGGTAGCCTGTATTTGCTAGCTTTCCCTTTTTTTTGGAGAGGTTTTTGCTATAGGGCACGTGCGCTCGCCAGAAAGACAGAGAGAGACAGGGAGACAGAAAGTGAGAAATCACCCTTCTCCTCCATTCTCCTCTTGGGATATTGGGCATGCACGCACATGCGCCCCTGCGTGAGTTTAAGCCACTGGGTCTGGGACTTGAACCGCGGTCGACTACATGGGAGTTCAGTGACATAGCCATTACGCTAACTGCTGGTCCCCAACTAGCTTTCCCTTTCATAGAAAACGTTTACTGACTCCTGAAAGGTTGGTTTGCCTGTTGTTTTAATTTGTATTTTTCTGATAACGACTGGGTGAACATCTCGTTGTTGCCTTTCTTTTGGGGAAGCTGTTGTACAACAATTAGGACTACTTACTTCATCATCTCCTTGAGATTCCCCCACCCCTCTCTGGACTTCTGAGACACAATTAGCTTGGCGTGCAGATTTTCACATTTAGATGCAATAGCATCTACAGCTGGGGCTAAAGCCTCAGTGGTAATAATGCACTTTGCTTTTGAAGACTGTAGTCTGTAGAGGATGTCCTTCTGGGTCAGTTGAGTGGTCCCTGGAATTAAAACTGTCCCTAAAGGAGCAGGAAAGAAGCCATATTGAACAAAGAGCATCTGTCATCATGCCAGTTAGGGTAGCATAGATAGCACATGTACATTTTGTATTTCTCAGGATGAGTTAGTTATTTTACCGGGGAGGTGTCTATTTGCCTTACTTTATTCTGCTTTTGCTTTTCAAGGGATCTCAAAGTCTACGACTCCTATTGACCTATTATGAAAGGGTGTTAAATCTCTTCGAAGATTATCTAGACATTGAAGTCTGAAGAGGGTTTTGATTACAAAGTAATATTAACCAACAATTATTGAGTACTTGAGTGTCAGGCACTATTCCAAATGTTTTGTATGCTTTAATCCATTCACACCCCACCAAACAAAACAAAAGCTGTGAATAACTTGCCCAAGATCACGTACACAGCAAGCGTCAGTGAACAGACTGACTGTGCAGCCTGACTCCAAAGCTGTGTGCTTAACGTCTGCAGTCCAGTGTCTTTTAAAATTCATATGATTTTTCAGCATTTCTTTCCAAAGGGAAAGGTTGAGACCTGTATCATTTCTGTGGTTCTACTGCTGCCTGCTGTATATTACACTGTAAAATGTAGTGTAACAGTGTGGTGTGTTAGAGCCAGACATTCTTTTTTTAAATGTATTTATTTATGTTTTGTTTGAGAGGTTTTTGCTACAGGGCATGTGCACTTGCCAGAAAGACAGAGACAGAGAGACAGAAAATGAGAAATCACCCCTCCCGGGGGGGTGGGGGTGGTGGATGGCCACACCGCAATCCCTTCTCTTCCATTCTCTTCTTGGGATCTTGAGCACGCATGCACACGCACCCAAGTGTGAGTTTAAGCCACTGGGTCCGGGACTTGAACTGTGGTTGGCTACATGGGAGTTCAGCAATGTAGCATGTCCCATGATTTTTTATTTTACTTAGAATATATTATTATGGACCAGAACTTCCTTTACCCTGTGTCTTCCTAAACCTTTTCTTTCTCAATCGCCTGCCCTTGGTGGCTTTGACCACACTTCTTCTTTTTTTTTTTTTGACAGGTTTTCGCTATAGGGTGCGTGCACTCGCCAGACACACAGAAAGAGACATAGAGACAGAAAGCGAGAAATCACCCCCCAGAGGGGATGGTCATACCGCAATCCCTTCTCTTCCATTCTCCTCTCGGGGATCTTGGGCACGCACACACACGTGCCCGGCGTGAGTTTTAAGCCACTGGGTCCGGGATGTGAACTGCGGTCGACTACGTGGGAGTCCAGCAACATAGCCATTACACTAACTGCTGGTTCCCAGTACTAAATAATCTTTATCTACTAGTTTTTCGAAAGAGTTTAAGCCGCCGGGTCCGGGACTTGAACCGTGGTTGTCTACATGGGGGTCCAGCAACATAGCAATTATGCTAACTGCTGGTCCCTTAATTATCTAATGTTATGAGAGAAAAATTATTAGGAAATCAAACAACTATGATCTTGTTTCTAATTCTGCCATGAAGACTACAATTGTTACTATATTAAATTTGCCATTCATTCATTGCCTCCCTTTCATCCTCTCCCTTTCATTCTTTCTTCTATGAGAATTTGCCTCCCTTTCTGCCCACAGCCCCAGTAACTACGTTTGTATCAGATGAAGCTGCCTCTGATTATATCTGATTGTCCTATCCCGATTGTCCTATCCCAAGTTGTGTCAGATTGTGATCAGATTCTGTCTCAAATATCTGGCCTAAGAGACTGAGTGGATGAGTCATATCAGGTTAAGGCCTGAGACACTTGGGTAGCAAACTAAAGCCATATGCCAACCACAATGGAGGGGAACAGAGAAACAAGTGTTAGAGAGAAGAAGTCAAGGAAGTAGACATGAGAGAGAGACAAAGACAAGAAGCCCTGTGACTTTGGGACAAAAGAAATAGAGGAAGAGGCTACAGGCTGAATAGTTTGTTCTCTTGCAGAAACCCTGCTGTTCTTCCTGCACATTTTTTCCCCATAAAATCTCCAATAGCCATTTAATAACTGTCCTTAATTACTGAATTAAGTGAACGGATATCTGGTCCTAGCAATCAAAAAGTCCCTTTAAGAGAATGAGCTTAAGCAGCATTTACATTATTTTGTTAAAAAAATTGCTTAAAAGTTGACTTTGGTACTCCAGTATATACTTCATTTGTACATATGAAATACAATATAGTAGATATCCTCAAGAAGTAATAATGATTATATGGGACTAGCACATCTACATAATGATTATGTTGCTGTACTCCCACATAGTCAACCACAGTTTGAGTCCCAGAGCTTAAACTCATGCTGGTGTGTGTATGTGTATGCCCAAAATCCCAAGAAGAGAAGGGATTGCGGTGTGGCCATCTCCCCTGGGAGGTAGGGTGATTTCTTACTTTCTGTCTGTCTCTCTCTAGCAGGCACACACGCCCTAGAGCAAAAACCTCTCTAAAAAGAAAAAAGGAAAAAAAATAATAATTACTTAGTATAATGATATAATGATAGCAGGAATATTAATTAATTTAACTAATATTTACTGAATATTTACTATGTGCCAATCATTAGGGGTACAGGGATGAAAATATCATAATTATGGCCTTTTAGAAGCCTACATACTCACATGGGCATGACCAAATAGCCTATCCAGTTAATAAAATGCCTATTAAAATAGGAATATACACATGTTGTTTTGGGGAGCTCAAAGAAAAAAGTACTTGGATTTACACATGAGCATGGGATTATCTGAGAAGGTAACATTAGAGCTGAGACTTGAGAGTCTAATAAGATTGTCTAGGTGGTTAGGTGTGAGGGAAGGCCTTCCAAGCTTAGGAAACAGTATGCAGAAAAGTCAGATGACAGTTATGAAAAATGGTTTCTTATAAGAAACCACTTGGCATGGCTGCAGCATGGAATGTGAGGGTGGAGAAATTAGAACAATCAACGGAAAATGGCTCCAGCCTTCTGTGGTGTACCTGACAAAGTTCAAATTTTATCTGGTAGGCAATGGAGAGTTATTAAATAAGACCAAACAGCAAAATGACAGGATAAAAATGTGTGTTTTAGAAAAAACACTGGCTAGGGAAGATGAATTGATTTGGAGTAGAGTGTAGGCACACCCAAGCCCAGAATTAGGCAGACTCTAGGGGAAATCAAAGATGTGAAATGCAAGGCAATGGGAGTGGAATTGAAGAAGAGGAACTCAGGGCGGGGTGGGGGGGTACAAAAATTCAGATTTAAAAAAAATATTTATTTATTTAATTTTATTTATTATTACTGCTATTATTATTATTATTTCTAATTTGACCAGAGAGATACAAAGAGAGACAGAAAGAAGAAAAGGGAGAAAGTTAAGTCGCCAGGTCTGGGACTTGAACTGCAGTCAGCCATATGGGAGTCCAGCACCTCAACCACCATGCCATCTGCTGGTTCCAGAAGGTTAAATTGTTAAGATGTAAGAACTTATTAGGAAGGTGGGGTCTCAGGCTGGCTAAGGGCACCAGATAGAAGATAATTAATGGTGAGAGGAATAAAGCTATGAAACGAGAACTGAGGTGGGCCTGAAGAGTGAGTAGATGCATTGAGTTTTAGGTGACCATGGATCCTATAGGAGGAGAGAAAGAGTATGTATGAGAGTATTTGATTTGATCAGCATTCACTTAATAAACCTAATTCATTAGGAAAATGCAACTGCTATTTTAAATCAAAAGATATGAGGGGACTTTATAAACTTTGGGGAAAAGCAGAATTAAAATCCAAGTTTATTTTGATGCAAAATTCTTGAAATCTGTACATAGTTTTTTTTTTCATAATACTAATTTCCCATGAACTTTTTGAAGACCCCTCATCTAACATGTTTCCAGCACATTTCTAAGGTTCCTGTGGATACTACATTGCACACACTTCTTCAAATAATACTGCCAAATATATATCTCATGATGGCTTAGATGTTTTAGAAAATCTGTCTTCCGGTTTAGTTGAAATATGATCAGATTGCAAACATTACTAACCTGTTCGCAGACAAGCCACATTTGCAAGCCACCACTCTGGGATCCTGGGCAAAATCAAAATTACTCCATCTCCCCTTCGCAGGGCACAGGCTTCTGTAAGTACATTGGCTAATTTCCTGGACAAGAATCCCAGTTCTTCAAAACTCCATCTTACCTCTTCACCATTTCCATTTATCCACCAGAAAGCTGGATTCGAAGGTTTCTTTCCAGTCTGAGAGAAAAAGTAAAAAACAATCATGGACTTGAAGGTCATTATACAGTTAAATTCTGTTTAAACTGACTTAATGGAATATATACTCTGATAACTCTAGTTATCTGTTGGGACATACATGAAGATTTACAAATAGCTCTAGGGTCCTTATTTCTAGATGTGGGGAGTTATCATTTCCTGTGACCCATGTCATTTTGCTTAATTTAAACTAATGATCATTTTTATGTTCAAAAAGTTAGGATTCTTGCATCCTTTTATATTTCTCCCAATGCTGTATCTATGCCTCATTTCCTACCATTGCTGACTCTGAGAACCCCTTTTTACTCTATTCTTTTTTTGTTTGTTTTTTTAAAAAAAATCAACCTAGAATGACATGTTTATATAACTCAGGTTTTTTCAACCAACCATGGCACTACTGACATTCTGGACCAGATAATTCCTGTTCTGAGGGCTGTGCTATGCTTTATGAGCTATATAGCAGCATCCCTAGTGTCTACCCATCAGATGCCAGCAACAACTATCCTCTCTCTCCCTGTCTTGTCAACAAAAATGCCTCCAGACACTGTCAAATAGCTCCCAGTTGAGAAACTGTAGTCTAAATGGCCCTTACTTTACCTTTTCCATATTGGTCCAGTGGTCTAGGACATCTTTAGCAAAGTTGAAATACTCTGGAATATCCAGTTTGAAGTTCTGTTTCATGGATTCATAGCTGGAGAAATTCTGAGGGGTTGCTGTGCTAGATTCTTTATGCAATGCTCTCACCGAACCAGGAACTGCTAGGCGCTGAAGACACTTGGTGCGAAGTAATACCTCCATGGTGACAAGAGCTAGCTAGCATCAGTCTTGCTGGATGCTTTAGCACTGAGGATTTCCACAGAGACCAATCTATCTAAAAGATAAGCAAAAAGGAAAAGTACTTGTTTCTGTCCTTAAGACACCCATACCCCAAAGCAGCTAAGTTTTTTTTATTTTTTTAAAAATGGCCAGAGGGCATATGTGCTCATCTGAGAGAGATAAAGAGGAGAAAGCATCCCCCAAGGAAGCATGGCTAAGTTGACATCCTTTTTCCTCCATTTCTCCATCCTGAAAGGACTTGGGACATGCATGCATTCACTCCTGGCATGTTTTCCAAGCCAAATGCTGGGATTTGAACTGCACAGATGACCATCTGGGGTCTAGTGTCTTTAATCACCAGGCTATGGGGCGAGCCCATAAGTTTTATTCTTATTAATAATTGTCATAATAGTACCATTTTCTGAGTACTTCCTATGTTTCAAACACTGTGCTCTGGGCCTTACATATGCTTTGTCATTAAATCCTCAGAGAAATTGTGACATGGGAATTACTACAATCTCTGTTTACAGATTGAGAAAATGACTAGTAAGAGGCATCGGAACCAGAACTATCTGGTCTCAGACCATTCTGGCTACTCTGTACTGTAGCTTCCCACGTGCATTTCTAAAGAACCAAAGAGCTAGGTCACCCTGTTAATCTCACTGAAAGCAAAGGGCTAATATCTTAGCTAATAATAATTCTTAGCTAATATCTTTCAACTGCAGATTTCCAAAGCAGTAAAAAATTGGTAAGGAGGATTTTTTTTCACAGTGGATAATATATTGCTGAAGAAACTGAGACTAAACCAGTACCAATTAGACATGAAAGCACTGCCAAAGCTGATAAACTATCTAGTTTATAAGCTGCAGTTCCCATGCTCCCACTAGGAGCCTACACTACCTTTGAGTCCAGGCTTGAAGCTGGATTTACTGCAGATATAATAACAGGGCTTTAACCTTTAGGACTATTACGGGGGAGGCCCCTCTGGGCCACCCAACCAACCCTGCTTCTGTGGGAAACAATTTGATCATAAATGTCATTTACCTGGTTGGGGCTGTTAAAAAAATTTTAGTGCCAGGGATTGCAAGTGTTTGAAGTCCTCCTCGTTATACTTTCTGTAACCTTTCAAACTTCCTACAATAGAACATGTGTTACTCTCACAGTCATTAGACCATCGCCTCAACTGCAGTTCTAGCTGTGTGGCACTAAGGCAGCCTGGCTACGCAAAAGCCTTTCTGTACTGATAAATTGCCAAGATGATACATAATAACGTCAGCTAAATTTTACCCTAAATGGACCTGGCACGTGAGCAGATAAACTACAAAATATCTTCAATAGATAATACCACATTTCTTTGTGCCATTAATACTTTGTCTCCCTATTTTTCTTCTAAGTCTCATGAATTATTATTCCTCTTTTGATATATCTTTTAGTTATTTAAAAATAAAGAATGATAGGTGCTGGTAAGGCTGTGGTGGAAAGGGAACCCTCCTACACTGTTGGTGGGAATATAAATTAGTACAACTACTGTGAAGAACAACAAGGAGGTTCCCCAGAAATCTACAAATAGGACTACCATACAACCATCAGTCAGAAAAACACTTGCACATCCATGTGTATTGCAGCATTATTCACAATTGCTAGGACATAGAATCAACCCAAATGTCCAAGAACAGACAAGTGGATTGAAAAAATGTGGCACATGTACTCTATGGAATACTACTTAGCCATGAAAAACAATAAAACCCTGGCATTTTATACAAAGTAGACAAATTTATAAGATTTAATGCTAAGTAAAGCAAGCCAGACTATGAGAGACAGGCATGGTATCTCCCCATTTAATATATACCAAATGTCTGCACTTTATAGCAGAAACTGAAAGACTGGAAGGTATAATAGCAGCATGGGCAACTGTAGATAACAGAAACAGTCTAGAAGGAGGTGGGTAATAGGGAGTGGAAGGGAAGGGATCAGGTAAAAAACAAAACACATAAAAGATGTGAAAATAAAAAATTATCTGTTGATGATAATGTATATGGTAATGTCTTTGACTTGACTAATATGCACTATATTCATGCTGGGAAAACCATGTTGTACACTGTAAAGATATACAGTGATTAAATGTAAATAAATAAATATGTAAAACCATCCTTAGCTAACAAGCTATACAAAAGAAGGCAGAGGGTAGGACCAGCAGTTGGCATAATGGTTATGTCACTGGACTCACATGTAGTTAGCCACAGTTCAAGTTCTGGACCCAGTGGCTTAAACTCATGCTGGGCGTGTGTGCATGTATGCCCAAGATCCCAAGAGGAGAAGGGATTGTGGCGTGGCCATACCTCCTAGGGGGTGATTTTTTGCTTTCTGTCTCTCTGTCTTTCTGGCGAGTGCACATGCCCTATAGCAAAAAACAAAAACAAAAACAAAACAGCCTCTCAAAACAAAACAAAACAACAAAGGCAGAAGGTAGACTTACCTATGGACTATAGTTTATTGATCTTTGTAATAGAAAGTGAGTCCATGAGGGTAAGAGCTTTGTCTGCTGTACTTGGGAATTATAATAGTGTTTAGTGTTGCTATTACCTGGGAATTATAATATCATTTGACCCATAATGCATACTTACAAAATAGTGTGGGGATGAATAAGTGATTTTTTCAGAACGGAGAACTTTTGGATATAGTTTATTTCATCAACTGTGGTAGATAATGTAAAGAATCTCTACTTCTTTATCATATTTATGTGATCACCTGCACTCTCAACATGTGGGAATTTAAATAAGTTAATTTAAATAAAATCTGAAAATAAGCTTTCCAGTCACACTAACGACCTTCCTCCTCTTTACAAATTTTGCCAGAAGATGCATATGCTCATTAGAGAGAGGGAGAGGGAAAAAGCTCCCCCCGACCCCCGCCATGGGACATGGTCATGCTGCAATCCCTTTTCCATTTCTCCTTCCTGTCAGGATTTTGAGCATGCACACACAAGGGCCCAGTGTGGGCACTGGGGCTGGGATTTTAAATGTGTGGTTGGTTATGTGGGACCTAACTCCGTTATTAACCAGGCCACTGGGCTGGGTGGTGCTAGCTACATTTCAAGTGCTTCATAGCCACATGTAGCTAGTGGCTTACAAATACAGTCAGTGCAAACATATAACATTTCTTCTGTGGCAGAAAATTCTTTTAGACAGTGCTATTCTATATGGATAGCTCAGAATTGGTTGATAAAAAACATTAAAATACAAGAAAAATGAGGGGGAGTTTCCCAAATTAAGATTTTTCTTTTTTTTTTTCTTTTTATTTTTGGAGAGGTTTTCGCTATAGGGCATGTGCACTCGCCAGACAGAGAGAGACATAGAGACAGAAAGCGAGAAATCACCCCCCAGGGGGGATGGTCACACCGCAATCCCTTCTCCTCCACTCTC